TCTTCAGTCAAATGCATCGACCAGTATTTCCAAATCCTCATTCGGACTTTATACATTATTAAGATGGTAGGAGGCTGACTTTGTTTGTACCTTAATGTGGCTGTTAAAATGCTGGTCCAAGTCCATGACTACATCCAGGTGTCTGGCTTTTATTCATTATTTATAATATTACTGATTAAAACTGAGCGCTGTCTTTTGTTCATTACTTCTTGGCCTCAATAACTAATTATCTCGTTTTTATCTTTGTTAAATTGAAAAAAGCTCTTACGCATCAAATTATTGATTTGTGAATGCATTTACTCAGTGCTTGTAATTGAATCATCATTTCATGTATATTAACACATGTTTAGTTATTGTTTAAACTGTTAGAAAGATGGGTTTATTTTGGAGGCTGCTGTTTGTGTTAATGCGTTGCCTTTATATTTGCAGAACCATCATTGTTACCACTCCAGACCACTAGATGGCAGTACCAGAATGTCAGTTGCCTGCCACCAGCAGCAAACAGAGAGGAAGTGTTTGCAATGTGAGTTGAGGGGGTGGGGGTTGTAAATGTGGGACATGTGTTTTTTGCATTTTCTCTAAATTATAAACGTGAATAGAACAACTTTTCAATACAGTATTATATATTCTTGATTTATCTAAACTTACTGGTTGATTGTTTCTCAATTGTTGGAGTAAAATTGATACAACTAGTGATTTTTAGTTGTCTTTTGATATGGAAATGCAGCATTGCATCATGGGATATGCCCCTGATATATATCCAAGTTAAATGTAAAGATCTTTGTCATTTTACGTAGAAAAGACAGTATTTTGTGTTAAATTCCCTGTAGATAATCCTCCCCTTTTTATATGTCTTTGTTTTTGGTAGTCTCTATATTTGCAGCACCATTATTCAGTGTATCATGTGTGTGAATGAGCTGCCTGTGTCCGATGTGTACAACTCATACTTACCTGGCAAGGGAGATACCATGATCAAGAAGGTGGTTCACCCAGGGCGAGGCTTGGCCATTGCACACCGGTCGAGCTGACCTCTGCGAATTCCTCAAATGTGGGAATCTCGATTGCATAATTTGTGGTAGTGGGGGACTGCGTTCGCGCTCTCCCCTGATAACTTGTAAAATGACAAAAATATCCCAGCAATTAAAGGGAAACTCCTTAGGTGGGAAGATAGGGCCCTTACATTTACTGGGAAAATCCTTGTCATTAAGGTGGAGATCCTTGCATCACTGACTCATCTAGCAGCCACCCTGCCTGTACCAAGAGCCTTTCAAACAACCTTGAGAAGATCCATTTTTCAATTTATCTGGGGTTCGCATCAGGAGTACTTAAAAAGAGAGATCATGTATAAACCATTAGAAAAGGAGGGAGAGCAGTTCCAGACGTGGGGGTTAAACTGGAAGCCCTATTTTTAACACAGATTCCAAATGCTGTGTTATCTGAAAAGAACAATAGCCTCTGGACACACTTTACTAAAAAAGTTTATTTCTGGTATAGGCAAAAGAGCCCCTCTGAACATCCCCCATGCAGAGACTAGGCCAGCATTGTATGGCAGAGCTGTGACCCTCTTTAAGTGAGCCGTCTTAGACAAATCTTCTGTAGGCTTTTTGAACAGAAGTTGTGTTGAAAAAAGCCTCTTACCTCTGACTACAAGCCTAACACCAATAGGCACATTTCCAGAAAAAAAATGCCTGCAAGTATGGAAAAATGTAAACTCGCCATTCCTTTTAAACGCCCATAAGGATTTGGCATGGAAAACAGCACATAGTTGTCTCCCTACGAAAGCGTTCCTGTACGAGGTCGAGTCTACGGTAGTGCAAAGTCTACAGTCACTGTAGACAGTTAAGCCTTCTGATTCGACAAATGTCTACAGTCATTTCCATCCGATTGGAAGTCTGCAGTCGTACTGTCCAATGGAGACTGTAGACATTTGGCAAATCGGAAGGCTTAACCTGTTACGCACCGCCCCCCCCGGTACCAGGCGGATAAACGCGTCATTTGCAGGAAACAACGTCTAAGGAATCTTAATATTTAATAAACTATGAATGTTTTATATCCATGTAACGGGAAGAAACTCAGCTAACTGATCTTTTTAATTTTTTTTCTCCAAAAAAACCCCACAATGCTAACACTCAGCCTCTGAATTAGCCACGAGCGAAATAATGTAACCTATCACTGCACCTAAACTCACTCATAACTCCCTTATTACTTATCCTAGATGCACAGCCAACCCCTCGATTAGCATCTCCTGGAGACACAGAATCGTTTGGTGCCCACCTCAACACTCAGTGATAAACATTTGCGACGCTATAAACGAAAACGTACATCAAAACATGTGGTGCTAGGTAGCTAGAAACGCTAACATGGCTTACCTTGGTCAAAACTGGTCTTCAATGGCATTAAAACGATGCTGCAGTTAATCCATAGGTTAATCCAATGTGTCGGTGTCCTCTTTGAAATGATTTCTGATAATCCATAAGCAATAAAACTGCTTTTTCGTTTCCAAATGTCAGAGCGAGAGATCGCTTCACTCTGGTGCAAACCTGCATGCGGGAAGCCCCCACCGTTTGTTTTCACAACGAGTGTGTGTGGGGGCCTCCCCCTTCGATTATATTGGCTCTAACGGTCAGAAAGAGGTGTCAACCATCCAAATCAACCAAGGGGGGCCAGAGATATGGAAAAAAAACATTTTCACCCAAATCACCTCAGAGGTGGAGTGGTTTTGGCTAAACCTCTCTAAAAAGGTCAAATGTCACTTGTTTTGCATCAATCTTGATACAGGGTACTTATTATATGTTGTACTTTGGATTCCTAAAGCTTTTAGTCCCATCATCCAAGGGTAGTTTTCACTAAGTAAAAAATAATTTTTGGACGGACACTATAATTTACAGTTTTTTACTATGTAAAATCTGAATTTTCTTTAAAATAAAAAACATCTGTATTGATTCTGACACTTCTACATCCAACTCACAGATGTAAACTTGCTTTGATAAAAGAAATTATTCATATAACCCTTTTAGAAGTTAAGTTGTAGTCATTTGTTTTGGGCATGTCATTTTCGAGCCTGAAACATGAAAAATAGGCTTGGTGCTTAACAGGTTAACTGTCTACAGTCACTGTACTCGCATGTGATTGGAAGTCTACAGTCGTACTGTCCAATGGAGTGTTTGGAGTGGGCGGTCTGTCCGATATTCAAATCTAATCTCCATCGAGCTTAGAGAAACAGCGATCGATTAACAATTAGCAATTTGTAGCAATACATACATATACTACACGTTGATACCTATACTTTACATAATAATATCAAGTATAAGTATAAACATATCAACAGTAAAAAATAGGTATTATTTGTGACATATGTCTTCTCTACTGTTGATGTGTTTATACTGCACGTTTATACTTATAGCCTATATTATTTGCTGTTTATTTTATTCAAATGATATTGTGTCAATACTTTATTCCACCGTTTTAATGCCTGACACAGTGCTAACATAAGAATTTCCCAATTTGGGATAGTTAAAGTATCTATCTATCTGGTATAAAGCAATGTTAGGGTATCAATTACCTCTTGTAAACTAACATTTTTTGGTATACAAGTTATGTATGTTGTTTTTGTCTATGCTGTCAGGCATTACAGTGAGAAGCAGAGATGGCGACACCACTTCTCCGCATCCTGAATCCCCAAGCTCCAGGGGATCGACAACAGGCTGTTGCGGTGCCATCAAAAGAGGCCCGTTTGTATGGGGAAAAGCGAAAGGCTTTTCCCACACCTCCGGTGGAGCTGCTCAGCAAGGCCATGGCCAAAGCAGAGAAGCTCCTTCGAGCCAAAGGTACCCCTAGGCCCTCACGCCAGCAGTGCCTGGGAAAGCTGGTCTTGCCATTTGCCAGTATGTGAATGCACCGTTTCACTGGCTAGTGGCAAATGACGTGGGCTACATAACGTTGTAAGTATATTATATTTAATACAATTGTTTGCTAAGCGTTTAAATACCATTTTGTTGTCACGCTTAAAATGAATATATATAAGTTGTGTTTATGCCTATTATAAAAGTTTAGTATTCATCTTTACAAAGTTCCTTTTCTCCTCATCACAATTGCAGTGCTCTTATGATGAAGACACTAAAATGTATGTTTATTATTGCAGTCTGCTTGATAAGCACAAACTAGAAGTGGAAGACCCACACCGGAAGGGAGATGTGGGGAGCCGGTGGGTTAAAGACTTTCTCACAGAATACGGAGAGAGCTTCCCATAAGTCTCCTGTCTCCTCGAGGCCAATGTGGACAGGTGGATCTACGGCCAAAAGGGGTTTGAGAACAGCACCTTTCAGGAGATGTGGGAACTCTATGGCCAGTACCAATCCCAAAAGGACAGCCCTGAGAAAGTCAGTGGTGTCCAGAGGGAAAGGATAGGGAAAGCATACAGGTCTGTGAGCAAGTGGTTGCGCACACCAGTGACCCAAATTACCAACGTGCAGTTGAAGAGGTTCCGTAAATACATCATGGACAAGGAACAAGTAAGTGTTTAATTGATTATTCCTGTGTTATCACACAGGAAGAGTTGAAAATCATGGTCACATCATACTGTCATATCAATATCAGCACTCCTGCTAAATGTGCTGTTTTATTTTGGTAATTAAAAACTGGCATCAAATTATCATTACATTGAGGTTAGTGAAAACAAATGTAGACGCGCACGCTGGACTCATCCTCGTGGCCAGGGGATGATGCTGAACTGGTAGCTGTGAGCCAGGCTGTGAAAGAAGGCAAGTGAGACACAGTTAATATATGAAGGAAAACATGTTCAAAAATAATAATCCTAATTCAAATGTGCTTTGTTTGGTACATTTTTAGATATGATCAAGAAAAGGCCCAAAGCAACTGCTTACCGACCTGGAGGCACTGCTGTCGGGCCCGAAGCTGCTGCTCTCCTTCCTGATGTCTGTCCAGCCTGAAACTGCTGGCCTGCTGCTACTGCCGCCGCCGCCCGGCCTGCTGCAAAAAAGCATACATCTGGGCATAAAACCTCTGCTGGCCATCCCAAAGAAACAGAGGTCACTCGGCCTGAAGATGTTGCTACTGCTGCTGTCCAGCCTGCTCCTACTGTCTGGCCTGCTACTGCTGCTGTGAAGGCAAAGAAGCCAACATCGAGGCACAAAACCTCTGCTGGCCATCCAAAAACCCCGGAAGTCACTCCTGTGCAGCCTGCGGCCCCTGCTGACCCAGATATGTCCACTTCGACATCCACGGCTTGTGACCTTCCGATGGCATCTCACCCGAGTGACGCAGAAGTAAAGATAGTTGTTCTAGTGGAAAGTTGCTTAATTACTTCATTGAATAATGTTATACCATAAATTCTTACCCTATAAGTCTCTAATGTATTCCATGTTTTGCGTGTTACAGGTGGATCTAGAGGGCTGGGTGCGTTTGTGGGAGAACGCTGGTGGCATCCCATCTGCCGACATATCCTGGCTCAAAGAGGACACAGAGAGAGGGCTGTTTACCCCCGTTCAGACGTACAAGGACATCAGAGGTCAGATCAAGAGGCGACGAGTGATGAAGTCTGACCGGATGTGGTTTTATCCCCCGGAACCTCCTGGCTTTGTCGGGGGTGGTCTGCCTACTCCGCAATTGTTCTTCAGGAGCCGGGTCTTTGTGTGGCGCCCTGTCGGCGTTTGGAGGTACTCGATCAAGTGTCCGCGGGGAGAGAACTGTGTCGGCAGTGGAAGAAATGTGCACCTCTCAAAGTCTGGCTACCACTCCAAGTTATCAATTCTCTGACATTACTATACAGTTGAAAATGTGTTTCTATGTATGAAATGGGCACTGAACGTTTTATGCTGGCCTTCCTTTTGATTTCCATGTGTATTTTATAGGTACGTCTCATCTGCGATGTGTCCTGTTGGTACACAGTCATCACAGAAGTCCTGTCCTGCGGACCCTGTACCAAGGCAGCCAGGAGCAAAGAGGGTGTTTCAGTGGGCCGGTGGCTTGCGTGGGATAACGCCATCTTGTCCCAGCTCAGCGAGGCTCACCAAGCCATCTTTCCTGCCGTGCTTACCACCATGTGTGTATTTCACATTCTATACCAAACTATACTATAACATGCTATAATGTGTGCATTTACAAAATGTTTTCACTCAAATCAACCTTACCATATCAATTGTGACTCTACTTACAGGCGTGGCGTAGACAGGAATGTGGTGCGCCTTTTCAGGGACAGGACCGAAGGGAACACTATGGAGAAGGTGTGGCGGCAGGTACAGGAGAACCATGTTGAGGAGTACCTCCAGCGCAAGAACCTGTATTTTCCATGTCATTTCCTTAACAGGAGGATGCCTGCAGTCAAAACCCTCTTCCCGGCTACCCAAACTTGGAGAGGTTCTGCTCACTGCTGGTGGACATTGGGCTCGTAGAGGACAAGCTGTCCCTCGTCACAGAGCAGAGGAACGCGATCCTGGCTGCCTGGACTAAAGTGGAGGACCACGACAAACGGCAGCAGCAGTTCAACGAGCTATACAGGACGCACTGGGGCAACACCCTGTACTGCCGCACTAAGCGCCACAACCTGGTTGATGCTGCCGTCATACAGCGTGTGAAGATGGGCATTCGCTATGCACCGGCACAGCAAGACATTAGCGCGCAGAACAATAGGCTAATGTACACGCTGGTCAAACTGCTGTGGCTGAAGTCGCCGCAGGGTTCGCGCACGAGCCCCGAGAAGACCACCGTCTTAAAGGCGTACGAGAGGATCCAGCACCGGCTTTTGGTGGACGACCCGATCCTTAGCAAAGCTGGCTTCCCTCTGCCAAAAATAAACATTAAGACGGTGCGGGACTTTATCCGAGCTCAAGAGCGCCTCCTCAACCTGCGTGCCACAAATCAGCCGGCGATGCTATCAAAAACCACTTCGGTTTCCTCTGCCGACTTGCCTCCAGCCCCACCAGCCAGCAGTCCTCCCTCCACCAGACTACCCCCTGATGCAGTACGTGCCGACACCCAGCACGACAGGGACCAAATTGTTGAAGGGAAGGAGGGACATGATCCTGCCTCCGTCATCACTGCCGCCACCTGTGTCACGGCCGGTAAGACCGACCCCAGCCCCCAGACCTTTGCCCTCCCCCTCTCCATCCGCAGCAGCAACCTGGGCGATTGCTGGCCCCTCCACGAGGCCCATCGTGCCTGCTGGATGTCCCATACTGCCTGCCACCAGCACCGTCGCCAGACCACCCGTGCCCTCCCTTTTCCCTGGCCCCATCCTGCCGCCTGCCAGTCAGCCAAGCCCAGCCATTGCTGGCCCCTCCTGTCTGGGTGTGTCCGTCCCCCTGACAATGCCTACAGAGTGCATTCCCTCATCCTGGGCGAGGTCCACACTTTACAAGCGTAAGGCGGCAGACGAGCCCTCGGGAGTAGGACACAAAGTGCCCCGGGTTCAAAAGCTGCCCACGTGCACATGCTGTGGCCAACCCACCCAGGGGCATAAAAAGTACAGGCGTAAAGTCTTCTGCCCAGTCAAAATGATGTCTTCTTCAAAGGGTCTGGAGAAGAACACTGTCTACAGCAGCTACCAACATTTTGCAGCTGTTGACGCGTTGGAGCAATGACCTGTTGCTATGTAAATATTGTAAATAGTCATTTCAATGTTTTTCAACTTGCTGTGTTATCATTTTGATTTTTCATGTTGACTTTTATATTCATTATGTATATTGTAAATACTTTTACGTTACGCTTTTATCCAAAGCAACTTACATACTCAATACTGTGGGGTGAAGTGTCTTGCCCAGGGACACAACGACATGCTGACGGCAGTGGGGTTTGAACCTGTGCTCCCCTGATCCCAACACCAAAGCACTGTGCCACAGCCTCCCTGTGCGAATGGTACATCTGATTTGTATCCACTTGAGCTTTTTTACCTGTGTTTATGTTGTTGCTGTTGCCATCCTTAATACTGAATCAATGAAGGTGAATGTTTGCTCAGAAAAAGTCCCAAAGAATCCAACTGGGTTCAATAGCTGGAGCTCCTGTCGCAGTTCCATCGTGCGATACAGCCTCTGAATTAGCCACGAGCGAAATAATGTAACCTATCACTGCACCTAAACTCACTCATAACTCCCTTATTACTTATCCTAGATGCACAGCCAACCCCTCGATTAGCATCTCCTGGAGACACAGAATCGTTTGGTGCCCACCTCAACACTCAGTGATAAACATTTGCGACGCTATAAACGAAAACGTACATCAAAACATGTGGTGCTAGGTAGCTAGAAACGCTAACATGGCTTACCTTGGTCAAAACTGGTCTTCAATGGCATTAAAACGATGCTGCAGTTAATCCATAGGTTAATCCAATGTGTCGGTGTCCTCTTTGAAATGATTTCTGATAATCCATAAGCAATAAAACTGCTTTTTCGTTTCCAAATGTCAGAGCGAGAGATCGTTTCACTCTGGTGCAAACCTGCATGCGGGAAGCCCCCACCGTTTGTTTTCACAACGAGTGTGTGTGGGGGCCTCCCCCTTCGATTATATTGGCTCTAACGGTCAGAAAGAGGTGTCAACCATCCAAATCAACCAAGGGGGGCCAGAGATATGGAAAAAAAAACATTTTCACCCAAATCACCTCAGAGGTGGAGTGGTTTTGGCTAAACCTCTCTAAAAAGGTCAAATGTCACTTGTTTTGCATCAATCTTGATACAGGGTACTTATTATATGTTGTACTTTGGATTCCTAAAGCTTTTAGTCTACTAACCCATCATCCAAGGGTAGTTTTCACTATAAGTAAAAAATAATTTTTGGACGGACACTATAATTTACAGTTTTTTACTATGTAAAATCTGAATTTTCTTTAAAATAAAAAACATCTGTATTGATTCTGACACTTCTACATCCAACTCACAGATGTAAACTTGCTTTGATAAAAGAAATTATTCATATAACCCTTTTAGAAGTTAAGTTGTAGTCATTTGTTTTGGGCATGTCATTTTCGAGCCTGAAACATGAAAAACAGGCTTGGTGCTTAACAGGTTAACTGTCTACAGTCACTGTACTCGCATGTGATTGGAAGTCTACAGTCGTACTGTCCAATGGAGTGTTTGGAGTGGGCGGTCTGTCCGATATTCAAATCTAATCTCCATCGAGCTTAGAGAAACAGCGATCGATTAACAATTAGCAATTTGTAGCAATACATACATATACTACACGTTGATACCTATACTTTACATAATAATATCAAGTATAAGTATAAACATATCAACAGTAAAAAATAGGTATTATTTGTGACATATGTCTTCTCTACTGTTGATGTGTTTATACTTGTAGCCTATATTATTTGCTGTTTATTTTATTCAAATGATATTGTGTCAATACTTTATTCCACTGTTTTAATGCCTGACACAGTGCTAACATAAGAATTTCCCAATTTGGGATAGTTAAAGTATCTATCTATCTGGTATAAAGCAATGTTAGGGTATCAATTACCTCTTGTAAACTAACATTTTTTGGTATACAAGTTATGTATGTTGTTTTTGTCTATGCTGTCAGGCATTACAGTGAGAAGCAGAGATGGCGACACCACTTCTCCGCATCCTGAATCCCCAAGCTCCAGGGGATCGACAACAGGCTGTTGCGGTGCCATCAAAAGAGGCCCGTTTGTATGGGGAAAAGCGAAAGGCTTTTCCCACACCTCCGGTGGAGCTGCTCAGCAAGGCCATGGCCAAAGCAGAGAAGCTCCTTCGAGCCAAAGGTACCCCTAGGCCCTCACGCCAGCAGTGCCTGGGAAAGCTGGTCTTGCCATTTGCCAGTATGTGAATGCACCGTTTCACTGGCTAGTGGCAAATGACGTGGGCTACATAACGTTGTAAGTATATTATATTTAATACAATTGTTTGCTAAGCGTTTAAATACCATTTTGTTGTCACGCTTAAAATGAATATATATAAGTTGTGTTTATGCCTATTATAAAAGTTTCGTATTCATCTTTACAAAGTTCCTTTTCTCCTCATCACAATTGCAGTGCTCTTATGATGAAGACACTAAAATGTATGTTTATTATTGCAGTCTGCTTGATAAGCACAAACTAGAAGTGGAAGACCCACACCGGAAGGGAGATGTGGGGTGCCGGTGGGTTAAAGACTTTCTCACAGAATACGGAGAGAGCTTCCCATAAGTCTCCTGTCTCCTCGAGGCCAATGTGGACAGGTGGATCTACGGCCAAAAGGGGTTTGAGAACAGCACCTTTCAGGAGATGTGGGAACTCTATGGCCAGTACCAATCCCAAAAGGACAGCCCTGAGAAAGTCAGTGGTGTCCAGAGGGAAAGGATAGGGAAAGCATACAGGTCTGTGAGCAAGTGGTTGCGCACACCAGTGACCCAAATTACCAACGTGCAGTTGAAGAGGTTCCGTAAATACATCATGGACAAGGAACAAGTAAGTGTTTAATTGATTATTCCTGTGTTATCACACAGGAAGAGTTGAAAATCATGGTCACATCATACTGTCATATCAATATCAGCACTCCTGCTAAATGTGCTGTTTTATTTTGGTAATTAAAAACTGGCATCAAATTATCATTACATTACATTTGTTTTCACTAACCTCAGACGAGCACGCTGGACTCATCCTCGTGGCCAGGGGACGATGCTGAACTGGTAGCTGTGAGCCAGGCTGTGGAAGAAGGCAAGTGAGACACAGTTAATATATGAAGGAAAACATGTTCAAAAACAATAATCCTAATTCAAATGTGCTTTGTTTGGTAAATGTTTTAGATATGATCAAGAAAAGGCCCAAAGCAACTGCTTACGGACCTGGAGGCACTGCTGTCGGGCCCGAAGCTGCTGCTCTCCTTCCTGATGTCTGTCCAGCCTGAAACTGCTGCCCGGCCTGCTGCTACTGCCGCCGCCGCCCGGCCTGCTGCAAAAAAGCATGCATCTGGGCATAAAACCTCTGCTGGCCATCCCAAAGAAACAGAGGTCACTCGGCCTGAAGATGTTGCTACTGCTGCTGTCCAGCCTGCTCCTACTGTCCGGCCTGCTACTGCTGCTGTGAAGGCAAAGAAGCCAACATCGAGGCACAAAACCTCTGCTGGCCATCCAAAAACCCCGGAAGTCACTCCTGTGCAGCCTGCGGCCCCTGCTGACCCAAATATGTCCACTTCGACATCCACGGCTTGTGACCTTCCGATGGCATCTCACCCGAGTGACGCAGAAGTAAAGATAGTTGTACTAGTGGAAAATTGCTTAATTACTTAATTGAATAATGTTATACCATAAATTCTTACCCTATAAGTCTCTAATGTATTCCATGTTTTGCGTGTTACAGGTGGATCTAGAGGGCTGGGTGTGTTTGTGGGAGAACGCTGGTGGCATCCCATCTGCCGACATATCCTGGCTCAAAGAGGACACAGAGAGAGGGCTGTTTACCCCCGTTCACACGTACAAGGACATCAGAGGTCAGATCAAGAGGCGACGAGTGATGAAGTCTGACCGGATGTGGTTTTATCCCCCGGAACCTCCTGGCTTTGTCGGGGGTGGTCTGCCTATTCCGCAATTGTTCTTCAGGAGCCGGGTCTTTGTGTGGCGCCCCGTTGGAGTGTGGAGGTACTCGCTCAAGTGTCCGCAGGGAGATAACTGTGTCGGCAGTGGGAAAAATGTGCACCTCTCAAAGTCTGGCTACCACTCCAAGGTATCAATTCTCTCTGACATTACTATACCGTTGAAAATGTGTTTCTATGTATGAAATGGGTACTGAACGTTTTATGCTGGCCTTCATTTTGATTTCCCTGTGTATTTTATAGGTACGTCTCATCTGTGATGTGTCCGGCTGGTACACAGTGATCACAGAGGTGCTGTCCTGCGGACCCTGTACAAAGGCAGCCAGGATCAAAGAGGGTGTTTCAGTGGGCCGGTGGCTTGCGTGGGATAACGCCATCCTATCCCAGCTCAGCCAGGCTCACCAAGCCATCTTTCCTGCCATCCTTACCACCATGTGTGTTTATTTCACATTCTATACTTTAACATGCTATAATGTGTGTGCATTTCAAAAAAATGTGAAAGTTGTCACATATCAATTGTGACTCTACTTACAGGCGTGGCGTAGACTGGAATGTCGTGCGCCTTCTGAGGGACAGGACTGAAGGGAACACTATGGAGAAGGTGTGGCGGCATTGTACAGGAGAATCACGTCGAGGAGTACCTCCATCACAAGGACCTGTACACCACACTCCTCGTGACCATAGCTGCACCCGGAGGGATCGTCTCTGCAATGAGGCAGACATTACAGGCTCCACCTGCCCAAAAACAGCTCCCCACAGCGCGGCTCTTGCGCCATGTCTTCCTGCTGGCAGAGGCGAACAATGTGCAGGATTACCGGAGCCAGATCCTCTCCACTTTTGGCACGGTGATGAAAATGGATTCCACCAAGAAAGTATGTAAATCAAAACATAATTCTTTACTGTATGATGCAAATCACATAAAATTATCACACAAATGATGATGTTACATATAATTACAATCTACCACATTGTGCTTCCTTTAAATAATAATAATAATAATTCATTTATTTTAAATACATTTCAGGTGGTGAAGAAGCTGTCTGGGCAGTGACGTGGCTCAGCCGAGTGGCTTACCAGCATCGGCAACGAGTACTCCCAGATTGTTTCTTTTGTGCTGACTTGTGAGGAGTCTGCACAGAAGCTGCAACCCATGTGCCGTGGAGTCATGGAAAGGTTCCGGCTGGCCAATCAACCGGTCCCTCAGGGCCCTACATCTGCCGAGACAATGTTCCAGGAGTGGTTCGACGGTGGTATGGTTGTGCGTCTGGACATCTTTCACTGGATTCACCGGTTTGACGCAGCCGTACGCACAGACTCGCACAGCAAATACGCCGTGTTCAACCGCACCGATCTCGAGCTGCTGATCAAGGCCGTCAGAGCCAAGGACCCGGACACATTCAGGTCCGTGTCGGAACAGGATGTCGTCCGCCTGTACGTCACCAGGGATCAGCTGCAACATCACGTGCGGAGGGTCACACTCGGAGCTCAGGAAACGTTCCTGCTCATCCACCTGGCCATCGAGGAGCTGAAGGGCCCGGCTGGGCTGGACCAGAGTGGAGTGAGCCTCTTTAAAACACCTGGTATGATCTCATACAAAAACATTATTGCAGCTTCAATACAGATGATGTAGCATATAAAGTGAGAATAACAAACTGTATGTATATGTGCCTTTTACAGGAGCCATTGATGAGATGTGGGTAGGGCAGCAGAGACACCTTGAGTGCATCCAGGATCAACCAGGCATGAACATGTATAGGGTGGCCCGTACCACAACTATCAACGGTGTGGACCTGCCCTACTACAAAAGTCTAGGTGGAAGCAACAGCCTGGAGGGATTCCACAAGTCTCTGCCTCACATGATCCCAGGTACACAAGTGTAGTCGCTTTAATTAATAATAACAATAATATACACGTCTAATAATAAAAAGCAATAAAAGTACAATTCCAAAAGCGTAGGAGCAGGAAAGCAGTTAGAATTAAAAGCAAATGAATCCTCTTCAAATAGAACATGTAAAATAGGAGAACAGTAATCATTTCAATTGGCCTATGCATACATATATGGTACGCTTCAAAATTGTTCTACGTGTTATTCCAGGTTGCAGATAAGCATTTCCCAAGCTCGGTAATAACCAAAATATCTAAGCTGATCTGTAGATGTCACACGTTGCCTGCCCATCTCTTTCTTTTTTGTTGCATCTAATGATGGATTTGGTGTAAACAATAACACACTAACATTTACACAACAATAAAAGCTTTCCGTTACTCTGCTGCCCTCCTCTTCTCAGGTCCCCATTGTGCAGCACGGCCATATCAGGTTTACCTGATAAGTGGCATCGCACGGTGGAACTGCAACAGAAGCTCTGACGCAGTGTTTGGTGGCAAGGGACGGCGTCACAGGACCTACTCGGCGCCTCTCATCCACCGCCTCAACACCCGCTGTCAGCAGCTGTTTGGAGAGACTGTGGAGGAGAATCTCCGGGCCCCCGCTGAGGTGGATTCCCACGAGCTGCTGGGGTTGGAGTACCTTTTCAGCCAGAGCACTGGTGAATCTGAATCTGGCCCATTTTCACTGGAGGACATCATCCACGATGGCCCCGGTCCAGACGAGGAGGTGGTTCAGCCCGGGCAGCCCACTCCAGATCCCGAGGCAGACGAGGCGTACCAGAGCGACGGGGAGTCGCATTGCGAGGGAGACAATGTGCTGGATGCCATCCTGCCCCACATCACACTCGTCACAGACGAAACCTCCACTGTCAACCCGCCCGCTTTTGTAAGTTACTTGGTGTCTTCTAGAATGAAATTAAAATGCACTGTATCAGTGGTCAATGTATCCATTTCAACTTACCACATTTTCCATGTCATTTCTTTAACAGGAAGATGCCTGCAGTCAGACATCACTGCCACCTGTGTCACTGCCACGGCCACCAACCCCAGCCCCCAGACCTTTGCCCTCCCCCTCTCCATCCACAGCAACCCGGGCGATTCCTGGCCCCTCCACAAGGCCCATCGTGCCTGCCATTGCTGGACGTCCCATACTGCCTGCCACCAGTACCATCGCTAGACCTGTGCCCTCCCTTTTCCCAGGCCCCATCCTGCCTGCCAGTCAGCCAACCCCAGCCATTGCTGGCCCCTCCTCAATGCCCTTACTGCCTGCCATTCAGGCAACCCCGTCTGTTGATGTGTCTGTCCCCCCTACTCTCGAATGCATTCCCTCATCCTGGGCAAGGTCCACGCTATACAAGCGCAAGGGGATGGACGAGCCCTCGGGAGTAGGAGCCAAAGTGTCCCGGGTTCAAAAGCTGCCGTCGTGCACGTGCTGTGGCCAACCCACCCAGGGGCACAAAAAGTACAGGCGCTAAGTCTTCTGCCCTGTGAAGATGATGTCTCCGTCAAAGGGTCTGGAAAAGAACACAGTGTACAGCAGTTACCAAGATTTCACATCTGTTGTTGACGCGTTGGAGCAATGACAATATTGTGAATAGTCATTTTAATGTTTTTCAACTTGCTGTGTTATCATTTTTATTTTTCATGTTGAGTTTTATATTTTATGTATATTGTAAATAGTTTTCATTCATATGTACGTCATTAATGTAAATAGTTGTATGTACATTACATGTTACTTGTTAGATGCTTTTATCCAAAGCGACTTAGTATCAATACTGTGGGGTGAAGTGTCTTGCCCAGGGACACAACGACATGCTGACTGCAGTGGGGTTTGAACCTGTGCTCCCCTGATCCAAACACCAACACACTGCGCCACAGCCTTCCTGTACATAATTGTACATCTGATTTGTATCCACTTCAGCTTTTTTACCTGTGTTTACTTTAGTTTATGTTGTTGCTGTTGCCATCCTTTATACTGAATCAATGAAGGTGAATGTTTGCTCAGGAAAAAGTCCCAAAGAATCCAACTGGGTTCAATAGCTGGATCATTCCTGTTCTTCTTCTGCAGTTGAGTGAGATCTCGTTGTTGTTGACTTGTATAACAATAAATGTTAGTTTACAAGAAGTAATTGATACCCTAACATTTGATTCATACTAGCTGATAACAAATAAATCCTGGGATATACAAAAGTGAATGTGTTCCATGCATCTGATTTGTATCCACTTCAGCTTTTTTACCTGTGTTTACCTTACTTTATGTTGTTGCTGTTGCCATCATTTATACTGAATCAATTAAATATTTTGCCAGAAAGGTAAAACTTTAGGAATACAGAGCAGTTCTTATCATGCCATAACCATAGCCGTGGAGGCAGTGCTAACTCAAATATAATATTGGTGACAAAATACACATGGAGCAATCAGTGCAATTGTTATATTCTAATTTCTCTATTATAGGCGTTAATTACCTATTTATTCATGAGTAATGGGTTGTTTTTGGGTGCAAAATAGAAGATCAAGGGGCATAAGTAGGACTACAGTATCTCTATAATTTTAGGTTAATATAATTAACATGCCAATGTTAAGGCCGGGTCAAAAGAGACACGGGGAATACAGTGCAGAATTTGAAAGGTATGTATGTATTGATTAAATAAATAACAATGGATCTTGACAAGTTTTACCGCAATGGGTATAACAAATAGAATCTAAACATTAATAGGGTAATAATACATTAATAGAGATTTCACTGAGCGTCAAGTTTTCAACTATCACTAGCGTTAACTACTGGTTACCTGACAACGTTGTACTGTCTAATTTACCGGCAATTAAAGAGTGAACACAAGCAGTAATTAAATGGTTAACACTAGATTAAACAGATAATGACAAAGTGTACCTTAAACTGTAGTGGGTAACATCAAAGCATATAAAACATTGTTTATGGAGGTTTCATTGAGCGATGCTGACAATTAACTAGCGGCAACCAGCAGTAATATGGCCTGGTCCGTACGGCCATTGCCAAGGTTTAAAAAGTTATAAATAACACGAAAGATGTTTAATAAAATAATTGTTGCCGAAGTATGTGGCGGGTAAAGTAAGAACATATACAAAAATATACTTTAATGAAGACAGATAAAAACAAGAAACCTCATATCATCCCAAATTTGTGCTAGCAATAAACCAGCAAGTCAACGATGACTAGTCAGTGTAAAAAAGTCACTTGACAACAAGGGATACTGTTATGCAGTATTAAAAGACAAATTGCACAGTATAAACAAAGTGTGAATATAAAGTGCTTATTTTCTCTCGTAATTACTGCACGCTAACACAGTCTCTGGCTGCTGTTTGTCTACGCTCGATGGGAATTTGCATGCTGACATGTGATTGGTTGTCTACAGTCGGGTCTCCAGATATCCATGTGATTGGAAGTCTACAGTCGTAGCCTACTGTCCAATAGAGTTTGGAGTTACGTGTCCGACTGTAGACCTTTGTCAAATCAGAAAGCTTAACTTTCCACAGTCACTGTGGACTCCAGATTTCCATGTGATTGGAAGTCTACAGTCGCACTGTCCAATGGAGTAACGTGTCCGACTGTAGACATTTGTCAAATCAGAATGCTTAACTTTCTACAGTCCCCGTAGACAATGCACTATCAAGGTCTGATGAAATTCCCCAAATCTGGCAGCGAGGCAAGAAGTAGGCTACTTGGGCTAGCGGAGCTGCATCTTGTCACTAATTGATGCAACTCACAGGTTATAGCTAAATGTTTGGATTATATTTATGTGAATGGTTATTTTGAATAGTTTAATGCTACGATCCACGTTTGAGTTACAGTTTATGGGACTGTTTGTTGAATCAAGATGTATTGTTTTCTACAAGGCATGTTGCATACAGCATAGGCTACTTGTGACTGTTTATTTTTTATAAGAATTTTTTTGTTTATGCCTCTTTATTTGATTTTAGTTCATGTTCTATTCTATATTAATATCTTCATGATAAAGTCTGCATTTAAAAAACAAAAAAGTCTAACTATCTGATGTTTTCAATAGCTTCCATATGATGTGACTGAAATAATCCAAATTAAAGCAGATTCATTTGATGTAACAGTACATGGAAGGTATGGGAACAAATTGAAACTTCCCAATGAGTCACTGCTGAATTTCTAATAAGTCATATGAAATGGAAGGTGGACTAAAAATCCGGGGTAGTAATTCAATGCTGTATTGATGTGGGTCACATGACATGAAAGCTATTGAAACTGAAATGATCTTTAATTAAAATGTTTGAAAAACGTTCTTATTATTTTCACTGATATGGGCAAGTGAGCTCAGAAATATTGAAAATAAGGTTGGTTAAGTCCCGCTTATATTCTTGACTCTTGATCAAAGAAATACATATTACATTTCTAAGGGTCATCAAAATAAATGAATGATGTTTGACATTTCAGAATGCTAACATGTGTTTTTTAATCAGAAAAGAAATGCATTCTTTACAAAGCCAACACTGTAAAGCATTTTTACTTCACATTATTGTAACAAAAAAGAGCAATTGCTCCATTTCCGTCTGCAGTTAAAACATTGCAAACCATGTTCATTTAGAGACAAACTGTTTTACAGCCCCAAGTCCAAGAAGCTAGACTGCTTTGAAAGGTTGAGTGTTATTGCTGCTTGAAAGGGAATGAATTTTGGTCCATTAACTCGCCGACTCTCTCCTGCAGGGTCTTCACCACCTCTTCTAGGATGAACAAGTGTGTGTCGTCAAGGTCCTTGAGGATGAACTTCTTTCCCAGGGCCATTTTTTCATCCAGGAACAGGAGGAATTGTTTCATGGCAGGATCACTGGTCCGGCGAGCAGGATGGGAGCAAGGGGAAGATTTTGTAAGTCAATATACCCTTTACAAATGTCAAAAAATAACCTGCAGACATGGTTTCATTTTTGTGTAGATCAGAATTACTTTGTCAAGATGCAAATGTCTCTGGACAATTTTACTTACCATTCAACAAGGACACCTTTGTGTACGTTGACCATGTTGACAGGTGCAGAGGAATAAGCAGTCGATGCTAAATAAAACGCTCGAAACCTGCAACACAAACATATTTTAATTTGCGACCGTAAACAAGAGAGGCTAACGAGAGTAATGGGTAAACTCAAGACAGTTTGTCAGTCAAGAAATATGAACGAACAATATAAAAAAAGGTGTCATGTCCAGGTCTGACTTGTCAAATGAAAATAGTAACTTTAACATAAGATGACGTTAATTTAGAGGGGGGAAAGGTTAGGTAACGTTGGTGCCTCAAACACAAATGCTAACGTTAGCTTTAGGTTTTAACCTGGTTAGTTTGTTAGCCTTTTTAGTCCCGCAACAAATATTAAGCTGAACAAACTATCGTTAAACCTTAAGATACATAGTAATATTTAAGCAAAGGAGTTGAAAAGGACGAGGGACTCAAACCAACCTGAGAGCTGTGTCTGTTGTCTATGCTAATGTCTCATAGCATTGTAGATGTACGGTCTGCACCGAGGGACAATCTTCTGCGATGTAAAAAACGCGAAGGCGGAATAAATGGTAATATATAGTATCGCAAGTTAATTCAAGTGATGAAAGGAATATTGCGATTTTATTTTAAATTCTAAAACTACAATATACAAATATTCCACTTAAAGTAAAAGTACTGCATTCAAATGTTTAAGTCACCTTAAATTAGTATTGTCTAAGATCTAATAACAGTAAAAGTTCTACTTAAAACTAAAATGAATTTGATTTAATAATAAATCAAAGCCCATATCACCATAAAGCAGTCGTGCCTAGTGACTCACAACTTTTCCCTTAGTAGTTGAAAGATAGAAGAATAGACAAAGTCCAACATGATACATTTATTCATAGTCAGCATTGCTTGTGGCAATTTGGACAACAAACACATGGAGATTTAAAACCAATAGTCTGATTAGTCCTGTACAAATGAATAAAGCAACCTGAAATTATAACAACAGGTCCATTTGAGGTAAAGTTCAGGAAGGAACATGTTTTGGCCAACAATATGACACGCATACTTGAACTACAATTTAAAAAATAGAATCTAATACCACTCGTCAAAAATACTGAGGAGCGGCAAAGACAAGTCAGTGCATCTTAATGTACATTTTGAATGACCATAATGTGCCATATGTCAAACTGGTAAGTAAAAGTGCCATAAAAATAAAATATATTATACATTTGAATGATCTGAAATTCGTAAATATGATCTTTCAAAAATGTCAATGATTTTTAAAATACTCTCTATTTGAGAGAGACCAATCTAAAAGGATGACTAGAAAAACTAAATAGCACCCAATATTTCACAACTGACTACTCTTTACAATTTGATGTGTAAGTTATAATTAATTTGACTATTTATACTATGATCACATTAGTGGTTGTTTATGTAAATGTACAACAAGGAAAGGCAGTTATGTTTCCATTTGGTTTAGAGGGGATGGTTGTCTGGCTCTACCCCATTTCAAGTAAAACGTTTATCGGTGTGTTTATGTTCATATATTTTAGTCAGTGGCTGATGTAGCTCTGCAGAGCTTCCAGGATGAACTGGAGGCTGCGCTTGTACAGAAATGAGTCCTTCTTCTCTGGCTTGCAGATGTTGAGATGATCTACGTCCACCTCGATGAGCTCCCCGATGCCGAGATCTGAAACCAAACCAGAGCCGGATCAAGGTATGTGCTAAAATAACAATATTACATTCTTATTGTTTTCAAGATCTATGCATTCATATTTAGGCTATATCATTTGTGACAGGATCGCACTACAAAATCTCATTGTATATTTTGTGTATAATGACAATAAAGGCCTTCTATTCTATTCTACATCAAAACTACATTTCCCATGTTCATTAATGTTACATACTTGCTGACTGTGTTGGCACCACTAGGATCTTGATCATTGGACCGATGTTGGTTGGCAGCGTCTCTGCAAAGCTCAGCACCTTAAATTCCTTTTCTTTTGCCATATCCAGGAAGTTCTCATTCAGATTGCGCAGTGCTGGTGAGTCTTGAAAACACATAGAAAATGAAAATAATTATTTAAACATTTCTATGAAACATTTACAGTCTTGTACCTCAGAATGTATTTGTTTAACTTACCTTTACAAAGTTCTCTGACTTCTACAGAGGGAAAGAGGAGATATCTGACATTGACCGAGTACTCTGCCATAAAGGTGCCGTGGTGAGGAAC